TGCCTTTTTTTCTTGCTCTTCCAACTGCTACCGCTACTCGAATATCTCGATCAGAGGTTTCAGCGGTTTCGAGGCCCGGTTACGTCCTGGCCACCTTGGGACTGTGGGTATTCCGAGGTGAAGAGTATGGTTCGCGGATTGGGCAGTCCACCGTGCGACGGGTTGATTTCGTTCAGACTAGTGGTACGTTCGGTTGGTTTCTTTGATTCTAAGGTCGTTTTGGAGGTTAGAATGAGAAATAATGGATGAATGTTTGTTGTAAAGTGTTTGATGTAGATTGGTATGGTGTGACGATGTATGTATAGGTTGATTTCTTTTTTGGAGAAATGAGAAGATATTCTTTGTCGAGTTTGTAGAGAGGTTATGTTTGGAACTGAGATAGATATTGGTGAGTGTTTCTGTCTCTGATGGATATATTAATTTGGTAATTAGGTATAGTTTAGAGTGTAGAAGGATATACCTATGTTGTTCATATTTATTTTATTTATTTCTGGGTTTAATTGGTGAATTTGTTTATGTAGAGGTTATGTTTGAAACTGCAATAGATATTGGTGAGTGTTTCTGTCTCTGATGGATATATTAATTTGGTAATTAGGTATAGTTTAGAGTGTAGAAAGATACACCTATGTTGTTCATATCTATTCTATTTATTTCTGGGTTTAATTGATGAATTTGTTTATGTAGAGGTTATGTTTGAAACTGAGATAGATATTGGTGAATGTTTCTGTCTCTGATGGATATATTAGTTTGGTAATTAGGTATAGTTTAGAGTGTAGAAAGATATACCTGTGTTGTTCATATTTATTCTTTATTTATTCATATTTATTCTATTTATTTCTGGGTTTAATCGATGAATTTGTTTATGTTGAGGTTATGTTTGAAACTGAGATAGATGTTGATGACATTTTGTATCTTTGATAGAGATATTAAATCAATAATTAGGTATAATTTAGGGTGTAGAAAGATATACCTATATTGGGCATATTTATTACTATTATTTATATATTTATGTATTCCTTTCTGAGTTTAATGGATGACTTTGTTCATATAGAGGTTATGTTTGAATCTCAGTTAGATATTGGCAAGATTTTCTGATGATGGAGCTATTAATTTCATAGTGCAAACTTCAAAGAAATGTATTTCCATTATTTATATTTATTATTACTTTACAGTTGCTCGTAATAATTACATAATTTGACATTTTTATCAAAAAGACACCTGTGCATAGAAGATTCGTACCTTACGTAATTTTATTGGAAAATAGTCTTGTTTATAGAAAATTTCATGGCAAACTCGTTGTTAATCAATTAATAATATGATCAACAAACCTGCAGTATCTTTTTCGAATGCATTCAAGTTAAGAGCGATAGAAAATTTTTACTTTCGAGTTATAAAGTATGAAAGCTGGATTTTAAAGAATTCCAGTGGACTGATTGGATCATTCATCTTTCACGAAATAATCCTATGTCACAATAAAAAAATATATCTATAAAAAATAAAAATTAACAATAGGCTAATTGCTTTACAGTTTTCAATTATGATAATCATTCATCCTCTCACGAAGTAATTTCATTTTAGTTAAAACACATGTAGCACATAAAATATAAAACTGAACAATACTTTTTACATACACCTATTATTCATAGTAATATCCAAACTACTTACATCATAATATCATAAAATTCGATTTCCATTATACTAAACGACAAGCACTATAAAATACAAGTATACTGTGTCATCTAAGATCAACAATTTTATATAAAAATCATTCATCAACTTCAATCTTTTACCTCTGTCCCTTTAATATCTTTAACATTAAGTTGTCCAATAACAAACAGATCATGGTATCATTTCTAATTCGAAGCAATATTCCTAACTGAAATTATGTATTATAGCACAAAATAATTCACATGTTACTTAACAAAACTTTCTTCGTTTCAAACAAAATAATTCCCATTCTCTACCAACACTAAATCTACCATAATCTAAGTGACCATTTTTAAACCTTCGACTAAAAATTTCAGATGTGACGTTATCACCTTGGTCACTTAATTTAACAATTACATTTTTCGCTATACATACGTATAATTAATTTTTCAATATTTTCTCTTATAAGATTTTTTTGTAAATTTTCCTCCATTCTCATTTTCATTCCAATCCTGATATGTTCATTGTGAAAAATATAAATCTCCCATCCAATAAATTGAATTAAATGAATTTTAATTCTACGCCAATAAGAAAAATCCTGAACCAACAACGAACCAGTCCACCAAAATTTTCACTTGTGGCAGCCATTCATCCCTCAAAGAGGGATGATTAAATACCCTTGCATCCCGACTCACGCCTTTCTATTATCACGTTACACGTCTTCTGTTCCTGGCTTTTTTATCGTCCTCTGTATCGGACAGCCAGCGAGGAAATTATTATCCTCCGTGGTGTTTCAGCCGGAACATGGTGTTCGCCGCGATGCATGGCGATTTTTCAAGGTGTCGAGATAAACCGGCGCACACGGAAGAGGCTATTCTTGGAAAAGCCGTTTTGCATACTCGAAAATCGCGGCACGAACGAGGGAGCGTTACGCCAATGAGGCGTGGGTGTAGGCGGCGGGCAGTAACGTATTAAAGGACACGCGAGTCGCCTCGGGGCGCTCACGTACACCCCTGCCCACCTCGTGCACGCCTCGTGCACAAGATTAAAAAGCCCCACTCGCTCGCGATCTTCCGAGAGATAGAGGGACCCTGCGGAAACGTCCACCCCCGATCGAGAGGTCGAGCGACGCCTTTCGATGTTTTCCTCTATGGAAAACTGGACCCGCGAAATTGCTACTCCTATGCAGGATCAGGAGTGTATTACAATATCGAGTGTTATTTTTATTCTTTCTTCCAGCTTGAAGATATTTTGGCGACAGATTTCCTCCAGTTTTGCTTATTTATTTACGTGGACTGACAATGAACCTGTAACCCTTGTGAGAAAATTTACCTAACACGTGAATGATTTATGGCAAAAATTAATTTTTGAGTTTTTCTTAACCGAACAATTTTGTTAATTCCAGTGATGGTATTCTATGTTCTATTACTATTGTGCAGAATGAGATGTATAGTTTGTTTCAGAGTTATTGTTGATGGAAAATTCTTCTTTTTCTTTTTTATTGGTTTTGGTGGCAAATTTGCTTTGGTTTTGTTTATTTATTTATGTAGATCGATGATGAATATAGGCACATGTAAGAAAATTTTCGTTTTAATAATTTTTTTAATAATAATTTTAATAGGAATGATTTATGTTAAAAAATTCGATTTTTGTTATTTTCGTAATAGGTAAAAAAGAAATTTTGTGTACTTTAAATAGAATGTCTTATGAATTAGATATACTTGAATATTTGCAATCGGATTTACAAAAGCAATGTTATTAATTGGAGCAACATTTTTCTATGTTTTGCTAGTTCTATGGAGAATGAGATGTTTAAACTATACATTGATGTTTGTATTAATAATGGTGAATATTTTACTTTTTTAATTGGGCTATGAGGATATTTTGTTTATTTATTTAAGTGTAGTAATGATAAATTTATTGCAAACATGCAATATTGAGGAATCACAAAAATATTCAAAAGCAGTGTATAATATGAGTCGAAATTATTTTTAATTAAAAAGTAATAAGTCTCGATATAACGTTGATTTATTTTTCCTGTATATTTCAGACTTAAGACGATCTTCGGTACACTAGCGCCACCACGGTCAATATCTACAGTACGTTTGACGTAAATATTCTATATATATATATATATAGTTTAATTATTTTCCAATTTTACTGATACAATTTTGGAATTTTTTAATTATTTATTTTATAAAAATAGTTAAATGTGAACGTTTGAATACTTTCGTTTATAAGTGTATGTATAATTTTTCAATTAATCTTTATTATAATTTAATGATATCTCATTCTATGACAAATTGACAGAGAATTTTCTTCCTTCCTTTTTTATTCTTTTTATCGAAGTTTTATGTTATCCTAGTTCTTAGTGACAGATTTTATCCAGCTTTCTTCATTTATTTCGTCAATCTTTTGCTAGGAAACTCAAAGATAACCCTTTGCACTACAATTCAATGAACTGTGCACCTGTGCATTGAAAAATTATTGAATTTTAATTAACCACTGTGAATCCACTTCATCTTCAATAAAATTATAAACTTTCCAAAAATTAAAATAATTTCGCATATGTTTAAACGTTCTAATAAATATAATTTCAATTGTATGATGAGTAAAATTTATTTTTATGGTATTTAGTATGAGAAGTTTACGATTTAAATTATTAATTAAATATTTGAAAAGATTCAAAGTCTTCTACTCTCCTATTTCCACTTAAAGTTTCCAATCTAGCAAGTCAATTCTAATTAATTGTACCCAACCAATTTCAATTCACAATTCAGTAATCCAGTGTTAAAACTCAATTCTAAAGGCGACGAAAGTTTCATCTGCTGAATCGATTATATGTAATTAAAAATTACAGCAGAGCAATGATAAATTCGTTTAATTGGAAATCAATCGCTATCGACAAACGAAGACCAGGGCCTTCAAGATCTAATAGGGAGACCTAGCTAGGAAGAGTTAGCTAAAAGCTGCTATAAGAAGACACTAAATTTTCTATGCAAGAAGCTCTTTATATGCCGGTAGATACATTCCTCTGCACAATTGAAAGGCGATCCTCTTTTTCTCATACGATTCATTCCTACATTTCGAATATTCACTCGCAGCTAGCTCTAACAGGCCACCTTCTCTACCAGGAAACGGCTAATCAAAGAGGAATTTCTTAGAAACAAAAGAAAGTCGTAAGACACGATCGTTCGTTGTCAATAAATACGAGATCCTGATTGATCGATAACGCGGATAATCGAGAGCCTAACGTAATGCGATATAAACGTCCATTACACCCAGCAAGAAGAATGCAACTCAATCTTTCAGCCCATTCGACGAAACTAATGCAAGGATCACTCGTTTCTTACCTTCACCAGTTTCTCCCTGATCTCCCAGGAGAATATCCCGGGATTGTCCCTCTTCATTTCCTCTATCCTAGCCTCGATCTCAGGCGTGGCTACCCTGGGCTTGCTGCCACCGATGACACCTGGCCTGATGGAACCGGTCTCCTGATAGCGGTTCAAAATTTTCGACACGCAGCCGTGAGAAACGCGAAGCTGCCGCGAGATAACGCAAGGACGCACCCCGGCCGCTGCCATTTCCACGATTTTCAGGCGAATGTGGTTGGGAAGAGGCCTGCCGTTGATGAAGACGCCTCCCAGTTGGTTCATCCGACCCTGCCCTGTAGCAAACGTTTTATCAGTCTTTCTGCGTTCGATTCCAAAGCTTCGAACGTCTAATGCAGCCATAGAGATTCGAGCCAACGCTGCTCCGTGTCTATCCCGAATCGATAACGCGTATACAGTGTATTTGACTAGGCTGAGTAAAGACAGCTGAGCGTTGCTTGGCGAGTTGGCAGTTGGAGGAAGTGCACTTCATTCATCATGGAGTAATAGGCCTACCTTTTTTCACGGTGTCATAAAGACAGGGTACGAGAATTTTTGTTAATAACTGAGTTTTGTTGAGGAGGATGTCTTTGTAGATACTTGGTTTTGATAGGTACATACTTTGGTGTATGAGCAAAATAATTGAGTTCTGATTAGGCCTACCTTTTTTCAAGGTGTCATAAAGACAGGGTACGAGAATTTTTGTTAATAACTGAGTTTTGTTGAGGAGGATGTCTTTGTAGATACTTGGTTTTGATAGGTACATACTTTGGTGTATGAGCAAAATAATTGAGTTCTGGTTAGGCCTACCTTTTTTCAAGGTGTCATAAAGACAAGGTACGAGGATTTTTAATAACTGAGCTTTGTTGAGGAGGATGTCTTTGTAGATACTTGGTTCTGATAGGTACATATTTTTCTGTGTGAGTGAAATAACTGGGTTCTGGTTTCTATTATTGCTATAGTCAAGATTGTTGTGATTATCTGGATCTAAATTTGTTTGGGACTAATTTGTTTGATGATGGAGTCTTTTTGATAGGTGTTCATACTTTGGTGTATGAGGGTAATAACTGGGTTCTGGTTTTTATTATTGCAATAGTCAAGATTGTTGTGCTCATCTGTATCTGAATTTGTTTGGGACTAATTTGTTTGATGATGAAGTCTTTGTAGATACTTGATTTTGATAGGTGTTCATACTTTGGTGTATGAGGGTAATAACTGGGTTCTGGTTTTTATTATTGCAATAGTCAAGATTGTTGTGCTCATCTGTATCTGAATTTGTTTGGGACTAATTTGTTTGATGATGAAGTCTTTGTAGATACTTGGTTTTGATAGGTGTTCATACTTTGGTGTATGAGGAAAATAGCTGGGTTCTGGTTTTTATTATTACGATAGTCAAGATTGTTGTGATCATCTTGACCTGAATTTGTTAGGGACTAATTTGTTTGATGACTAATATTTGGTCTTAAGATTCTGCTGAATGTATTTCTGAGTATTGATGAGTATTGAGACTTTTATTATATTGTACTTTAGTTGAAACGTTGAAGACTCGATGTTTTGGCAGGTTGTAAATGAGTAGTTAGAGTATCACATGTGATTCGTGGATGATAGGGTTGTCTTCTGAACCAATTGTCTTTGGGGGAATTGATAGTGTGCAGATTGTAACTTTTAGTAACTTTTGAAGAGGATGTTGAGGTTTCAAAGATTTGAGGAGAAAGTGGAGAGACAAATGAGGTTAGGTTAGGTTCAAAGAGATAACACTGTAATCTATGTTCAGATTTTGTACTGAAAAGATTGGCGTGTGAGTAGCTCTTGACTAGCTTTTGCGTAAAATACACCTAACCTCAAAATTTTCGTGTATTATCGTTGATTGATTGTTGAACTATTAATTAATAACAATTTCGACGTAGTGATTTATAGTTTTAATCAGAATTGTACTCATTTCAATTTCATTTGTTTGCTATTTTGAAAATAACTATAGAAATTCCTATACGCATCTAGGGATCCCTATATACGTTATAAACTCGTAAGTAACTATAATCTGATATTATATTACGATGAATAATTTATTAACGACACCTCGAACATATTTAATTATAATTGTAATCTAATCTTGTTCTTGTATTATTTTAAAAACAACACAATAGGAACCCTATAGATATCTAGGGATCCCTAGATAGTCTATAAATATCCTATACGTACGTAACTTTATATGCTGATTATAGTTACTGTTTCAGATTATAATTCTTATTTTAAACAAAATTAGTGAAATCTATTCTTCTTGTGAGAAATCACAAAACAATTACTATAGTAACATTCGACGATCTACGTTTATTTTCTTATCGCCACATTATTGTATTTTACCACTATGTCATTATACAAATTAATCGATCTATAGCAATCATTGACTTCTAATTTTCGCGTATCGGTAATTATAACTTCTTTTCTTGCGAGCAAACATAATTTTGGCTATAGGGGACTGATTCATTATCAGAAAACGCTTCTACAGTAGACAAAACGAGCTACTCGTACCAAATATTCGATAACTATGACTACACAGCTAGCAGATGTTGCCTAGTTTCTAATTTCATTGCGAAGACACTAAATTTTTGAATTTTTTATTTTTTTTTTTTAATTTCTTTCGTCGTTTCATCGATTACTATTAGTTCACATTCGCCTATCTCAAAAATATGGAACAGTTCAAAGCGATATTTCTTCATCTATTGGAATCTAGCCGAAGAACAGTTGCTTTTGATCAGACAATTACTCAGTTAAAAGGCTCAAATCGCAACGTGAAATAACACAAAGCGATTAAACTAGTTCAATTGTCGTTAAATGGTTGGCGCGGGCTTGGTTTTATACAACACACGCGATCAAACGGAATTAAACGAAGTAATTACGTTACCTGATTGCCATTCAACATTCGATTGTATAAATATTGGAAGGAAATAAGATCTACTGAATTTTTTCACATGGAAGCTGTTTTTTGGTAAGTCATGCTGATAAATTTTCTGGCGAAAGTATAATTAGCGAGTTGTGTGAGTATTGGTTTCATGAGAGTGTGAGTGTAGGTCTTATATGTGTGAATGGTAATGAGGTAGAATAAATGAAAGTCGTTTGAGATGATATAAATATAATATGTGCGAGTGGAATCTAGTATGAGAGTTACTTGAGAATCGTGAAATAGTAAACATGAGTTAATAAGAACGAGAGAGAACGAGGGATAGAGAAGAATTTTCTAGATAGTGTGAATCTTTTTGTTTAAAATATTATATTGCGAATTGATGTCAATATTTAAATATTATTATGCAAATATATTAATTTGTTAACTGTTAAGAAACGTACAAGAAATTGGTTTCCATTTCTATCCACAAGTTGCATACAGTTTCAACAATTTTCTAATAAATTCACAGAAAATTTCTTCAAATATGCTTCTTTAATTTTTCAAAATTTTATTTTCGATTTTAAACATAAAGTTTTTCATTGACAATGGAAATATTATATTAATGAATTTATAAATATCGGATTTTTGTAATTGATGGCTTCTCTTATCTTTTAGTATAATATAATGACCTTTGTTAAATATAATAATATACTATTTCGAATTAGACTATTCTTAACATGTTAAAAAGTTATAGATCAAAATTTAATGTAACTTTTCTAGTTCATTTTGATTTAAGATCATTTTCATACAACTGTACCTAACGTAAAAAATTTTTCTAAAAATTACAAGTGTTTGAATAATTAATCCTTGAAGTCGATAATGCGACTCACAATCAGATAAACATGATGTCTACTTACTGATAATTAAACAATATGTAAAATGCAGATACATAAATTGTCATTACAATCTAATGATAATTATTCAATTATAAATATAAAATTATAAAACTTTCAAAATATATTTTTAATTGTTAGATCGTATAATCACATATTAATTAATTTAATAATTATTAAATAATTTAATTTAATTAACTTATTAATTAGTTTAATTAGTTTAATCAATTTTTTATGGACATGTTGAAATCCATCTAAAAGTTGTTCTACACAGTATCATGACAGGTATAGTACATGACAAATATTCAAAAAATATTTACATAAAATCATTCTGTCTCACAAAATGTGCAGTACAATGCCAAAGGTGTTCACAGTGATGACACAGGGTCCAGAGAATTATTCTGATTGCTCCATCTAATTGCTAACAATTATAATTAATCTTATTATTTAATTATTAACGATATATTAACTGTTTAACATAAAATAAAAAGAATATCGACTTAATTTATTTGACAAACACGTTAGAAGTACCTGTATATGTCAAGATCATCAGAGATAAAGTTTGATAGAGCAGTCAGAACGTCTTCCTTGATTCCATGCCACTATAGAGTAATAAACTACTGGTGGAGATATAAACTCAATGTTAAATAATTAATTAACGAAATAGTTAATTAGTTTGCACTGGTGCAATAGTTAAATAATTAACACTGAGTTTATGTCTTCATCGTTACTTTATCACTTTACCACAGCCATACTTCATCTTCTCCTCAGGCTACTGCACAGATAGGCACTATACACTATAATTTAAAAAATAAATCTCAAGATTTAAATGTAATTTGAAATATTGAAATATTGAATTGTTAAAAATTAGTGCAATAACTTATATTAAAGGAAAATTTTCATTATTTCAGACAAATCAGCAGATAGAAGCTTGATAGTCTATAAAACATAGGTTGAGTGTGATTATAGTATCCCATTGGTCTGAATATGTTAATTAGGGTCAAAGAGATTCTACGGTTTAAAATGAGACGAAAATTAACACTGAAGATTTGTAATGTCTACATATATATGGTGTACATAAAGGATATTAATTAAAGTAATACAGTGGAAATAAAAAAGTATAAATAATTATGTTTCTATATGAAAAAGAATCGATAATAATTTTAACGAAAAGTAGCTGTGTGTTTCCAATAATTTCAAAAATAAAAAATCCCAAACAATTTATTTTGACAATTTTGGTTGTTATAGTATTAAGTATGACAAAATTGCATTCGAAGATTCTATTACGATGAAATATTATACCATACATTATTTTTAATTTTCACTTCATATTAAATCTATTTAACACCTCATTCTGTGTTCGTATAATACCATTCTATATCAAAAAAGTTAATATTAAAGAAATTAATTAATTAAAGTGATACAGTGGAAATAAAAATTATAAATAATTATGTTTCTATATGAAAAAGAATCGATAATAATTTTAACGAAAAGTAGCTGTGTGTTTCCAATAATTT